TTGATATTCTCGGCAGTAGACGGCCGCGTGTGCGCGTCGTCGTCGTTCAATAATCCCCGTCCCGTCCCGTGGAAAAGTTTCCACGGAACACTAAAGTTGCCCCAAATTAGGCATTAAATCGCAGCTCTCCCGCAGGAGAGAGAGAGAGAGAGAGAAAGAGCGCTCCCCGTGCCAAGTTTTCCCGGAAACTCATCGACTGCGAATCGTTTGCGACAACCCGTCCCGCACGAGCGAACGAACGCCACGTGACTGATCCGCCGAGTGGAAAAATGTCGGGGAAAAACTGCCCAACAAGAGAAAACTGGATGATTTTTACCGGCTCGAACTTAACTAGACAGTAACTGTTCGGAAACTGTCGAGAAAACGCTGACTATTATTCCTCGGTCAGTCACTAGCCGCAAACTAGTCAATGAAGATATTGAGAATGGTAAGTTAATACCGGACGATTTCATTCCCGGCGAAAAATCAGTCGCTAGACAGAAACTGGATGAACCGGCGAAAACACTTGAAATTCCAGCTAGTGTATCTCGGCCATTTTCTGGCCGGAAACTCGGCGAAATAATGAAAGAATGAAATGCTCAAAGACTTATTATTAGGGACTGGTCGGAAACTGGCCAGTTTCACTAACCAGTTATCGTCGAAACGAAAAGCCCCCCAAACTCGTAAGTTTTTGGCGGGTAAAACTGGTCGGAAACCAGCTGGTTAGAGAATTACCGGCTACCAGCTGCCGGCTAGAAGCTGGTTTAATTTCCACCACCACTATCGCCGCTGCTGTTTTCCTTACGATCGTCGGTCCGGATTAAAAAAAAAAACAGAAAAGAAAACCGCCCCACTATTTACGCGTCGCTTCGAAAGCATCGTAACGACCGTGGTCGTCCCTGGAGTCATTTATAATAAAGTATCCCGCGATTCCGCCAACCGCTCGTCACGCCGATCGTTACATCCGCCAATCATATCTCTCTCTCTCTCTCTCGCACAGTGTTTCGCGCGCGGAGCCTGATTTTATGCGCGAAAATATAGGACAGGACGGGAGATCGGACCGGCGATAACTACCGCTCCCCTCCCCCTCCCTCCCCCACCAGGGTGCGATGTATTCGCATGATTGATGAAATTTGTGTAGAAGCAACAGGGCGTACTTACCGGACTATATCCCTCCGGAGAGGAGGCTTTTGATTGATAGAGGACGTTCGAATTTGAAATTCCGCCTCCCCCCCAAGAAGAATGCGGTCGGTTCGCCTCCCTTTTTCACTCCCACGTCACCCGGTGTTCGACGTTCTTTTTCTCACCGGCCGTTGCCGGCACGCGAGCCTCTCAGACACGCACGCACGCAGGTATGTACGATACGTACACAGCGGAGGCGCGTCCTCCCGTCACTCGACGGGAACTTCCGGATTTTCGCGACGAGGGCGGGCGGACAGTTCCTTCCGGCGTGATACACGCGCGTCGTGTCCAAAGGACACACTGGAGCCGCTCCCCGCCCGCCCCCGTCGTTCATCCGGACTAAAAGCCGCCGGGTACGCAAACTCCTCACTTTCTCTCTTCGTGTCTAACGTCCTTGTTGGTCGGTTATTTACAAGTCAAATGCGGTCGGTAGGATCGATGCGCGCGGCACCGGGACGATCGGAGGGAAAGGAGCGAGTCGCTAAGGCGAAGGGTGGAAGGGCGAGGCGCGCGATATCATACAGGTTTTGTCTTGATGTCATGTCAGCTCCTCGTGCGATATTAATTCTTCGCGTACTGTTTCCCGCCACCCTAGAAATCTATCCAGTTTCCAGTCAGTGATTGGCCAGTAATCCCCTAACCAGCTAGTTTCTAACCAGTTGTTTATAGAAACACAAAAGGACTCTCCAGCAAAGTCGTATTAACCACCATCGAATAGACCTTGAAAATTTCAAATATACCTCGGCGTTTTCGACTTTTTCCCCGGAGAACCTCATTAAAGCTTCCTCCTCGAAACTTATACAACTACTTTTTACAACCTAGTGTGTCGATCACTACGAAAAATAAAGAAAATAAGCAGTTTCCAGTAGAGAAGTACCTCCAAACGTTTACCCAATTCCGTCGGAGAAGCCGCAGTTCGACCGAGCCAGCGCGCTGCGGCTCAAAGAGCCGCGCTCTTCCGGATCTGAGGGAAAAAAACAGACAGACGGACAGGCAGACGAAAGGGCGACTAAGACGATACGTGTGTGCGATACGAGTTTAACGGGGCGGGACGCGGTACACATATTTATTCCGATCCCGGGTCAGCCGGGCTGGAAAGAAACTGCCGGTCGCGACGATAAAGTTTCCGACGGGCAAGTGCGGCCTCGGCTTTGCGGACAGGGGACTTGAAAAAGCTCGGTCACACACAGCAGACCGGCGGTCGCGCGTGTATGCGAAAAGTTGGCGGAAATCTACGACGGCGCGCGTCCCGCCGAGAGACAAGTTTCGCGGCGCGCGCCCGCGCGACCTTCGACACGAATAAATTCCTTCGGTACTGGCGAGACGGATAAATTCGGTCTCGTCGCCGGACCCTCCGTCCACCGTTTACTCCCTTTGAAACGCTCGCTCTTCGTCCTACGCGATTTCAATTAGCGCCGACTCCCGGCCGGTTCGTGACCTTCCGACAGAATTAAATCATGTTTAATTTATAATCCCCGATCTCCCCAGAGCGTATTTTAATTCTCCCCCTTTCTCTCTCTCTCTCTCTCTCTCTCGACTGAGTACACACTCTCCTGCGAAAGTACTCCTGCGGAATCCAATCCACGAGTGTAGAACTCGGGGCCGGCCGAGGACGAGCGCGACAAATGAAGCGAATGCGCGAATCATCGCGAAACGTTACGCGGATGAATTTCCCGAACCGTGAATTCTTTTACGCAGCAGCTACCTCGTTAACGTCCCGATCATCCTCTCTCTCTCTTTCTCTCTGTCACAGCCAATGGCGGTACAGATGGATTATGTTCACCGTCTCCCGGCGGAAAGACTAATTTGATGCACAATGTCGGACTCTCTCTCTCTCCCTCTCTTTCGACGAACCTCGGCGATAATAAAAGGGGTAAAGCGCGCGCTTCGGGTCGTCGTCGTCGTGTTGTATTAATTTAACTTTGGCGACGCATCGACGCCGCCCGCCGTTCAAGAGTACCGGCGCGCTGTAACAGTATTAAGCTAAATTGCCAACAACAGCCTCTCTCTCTCTCTCTCTCTCTCTCTCTCTTTGTGTGTCTCTCGGTGGGATGCGTCGCTCCGAGATTAGCGGGGTTGACTGACAAAAATAAAGGAACATGCGAGGGAGAGAATGCCGGGCGGCGCAGACGAAGAAAATCCCACGGGACTCCGGAAGCGGCGACGGCCGCCGAATCGCCTCAGACGTGGCGCAGCCAGAATTCCCCGATAACATGGAAAGTTGGATTCACTCTGATCCCACGCCAAACGAATTTACGTATAGTTCTGCGCTGCATAGGTAATATCGGTCTTTGATCGTATTGTTGCACCTTCTCGTTGCGCCTTCTCATCACCTCTGATCAAAGAACCTCATATGGAAGAGAGGTGTCAACACTGTCACCTAACGAGCTCTTCTGCAACTACTTGACGTGATTCCTGCTTGCGCTGATATTGCGGGAAATTGTTTCCTCGGAGATGCAAACGTACCTTAATCGATAAAGTGTCGTAATAATCTCGTCCGGCGTAGATGTAAAGGAAATTGAGGGGAAACGTCAGGAACGACATTTTGTTTTCGCCCTCTGAAACCCTGAAGGTATGGAATTAAAATTTATGGTAGATGCAAAGGGGCGATATTTTTCCGCCGAATTGAATTGTTCTTTTCCTTGAAAATTATCACATCTTGCGAACAACTATTTCCCAAGAAGTTGAAAAAGTGATGATACTCCGGTTGCTAAATCTTAATGGAACGTCCGTTGCATTCCGAACTATATCTAGAAAGGAATGTTCTGGCCGATATTGAAACCAAGAGCGTATCGATCGAGCGTCGCTCGAGTCCGAAGCACGCGAGGCTTCCAAAATCGAGCGAATAATAACCACGCGTGCACCAAAGTGCGCACGCACATTATGAAGTACAATGTGGCGGTGCGTTGCGGGCGAACAAAATCGAGAAGCTATTTTGGGACACGCACGCTGCGACGAGCGCTTATCATCGCTCGCGATCATTACGGACGATACATGCACGGCCCGGCACGCGGACAACAATTATATCGCTGTACATATTAACCAAGAGTGTCAAATAGCGCGTGGGATGATTTGTACGGCGTATAAATTATTCAAAATTATTATTAAGCATGCCCGTGTATTATTCGCTAATAATTAATTCCGCCCGCATAATTGTAATATGATTATTCGATCGTTTAATTAACATTGATCTACGTCCGCGTTCGACTATCAATAATGGGCCGCGAACGGGCCGGGAAATGCGAAACGAGTCGCGCGCTGGTAAATACATTAAAGCCATATTCAGAATATATATATATATATATATATATATACGAGAGTGGATCAAATATAAACGAGCCTTTTTAAATTGCGCGCCCGTCGGCGGCGTGAGAAGTCTGCAACGTTTTGGACAGTGGAGGGGGGTCATGTGGAAGGCAGTAATAACGTTGGCGCGCCACGTGCTTCTTACTCTCAGCAGCAATCACGGTGAGTGAGAAAGAGATGCACCCCGCAGTTGCACAACGTATTATTATTAAGTTTCTCGTCAACGAAAATGTGACCGTTGGAGGAAGTGTATAGATAAGATGGGGGATTATATAGAAAAATAAGAAAAATATAAATTAGAATTGATTTTAAAAAATATATGGCTTTTTTGCAAAAGACTCGTTTATATTTGATCCACCCTCATATATTACGTTATACGCCCGACGTGATCTCGGAAACGAATATCCCGAGAAGGGAGGAAACTCCCGCGGCTTATTCGCGCGTGCGACTCCGTTCGGCCGGGTAAGTTGCTGAGCGGCCCCGATCTGGCAGCAACGTGTTTCTAACGGCACGCCGCCGCATTGTGTTAACAGGATTCCTTGAGATGGGTCGGATGCGAACAGGCTGGCTGCTCTGCGCGGCGCTGACGATCGTCCTCTGCCAAGGCCAGGAGGACTGGATGCAGTGTCTGTCGACGTGCAAGTGCAAGTGGGTGTCCGGCAAAAAGACCGCCGAGTGCACGAGGCAGGGTCTGACGGAGGTGCCGCAGAATCTCTCCCGCGAGATCCAGATCCTCGATCTCAGCGGCAACCGTTTCGCCCACCTGCCGAACAACGCGTTCAACGAGGTCCACCTGGTGAACCTGCACAAGCTGACGCTGCGCGAGTGCGGCATCGAGTCGATCGACACGCAGGCCTTCCGTAACCTGAGGATCATCATCGAAATCGACCTGTCGGACAACAACATCCGTAGTCTGCAGCCGGGTATCTTCTACGAAACGCACAAGCTGCGGGTGCTGCTGCTGAATCAGAACCGACTGCGGGTGCTCGAGAACGACCTCTTCGTCAACCTCACGTTCCTGCAGAAGGTGTCGCTGTCGAACAACAAGCTGGAACGCATCGAGGAGAGGACGTTCCTCAATCTGCCGAATCTGCACTCCCTCGCGCTGGACGGCAACAACTTCAGCACCCTACAGCTGCAGAGGTTCGACGGCCTGCCGAAACTCGGCAGCCTCGGCCTGCAGAACAACCCGTGGAACTGCAACTGCCACTTGCGGAAGCTGCGCGACTGGACGATCGAGAACAAGTTCTACACGAACCCGACCACCTGCCTGCAGCCGCCGAACATGAACGGCAAGACCTGGGACGAGGTCAGTAGCGACGAGTTCGCCTGCCGACCGAAGATCGCCGTCATCGGCCCGGCGACCAAGATCGAAATGGGCAAAGGGGACGTCACCCTCTCCTGCAAAGCTACGGGGATCCCGCGTCCTAAGGTAATTGTACATGGAGACCACCAAATCGTAATCCTGTCACGCTTGAAATCCGCCCTAAAAATATCCCGCCAATAATCTGCGCCGCGTTTCACCGTCATATTTAGATATATACGCTCGCTTGAGCGATGGCATGATTTATTTTGGCAATTTCGTCGAAAAATTATCCCGTATGTTTACACTGAAAAAAGCATTTATTAAAGCCCAAACTTTCATTGGATTCGAGAAAATGATTCATTGGAACGCGCCTGACTAAATAATTATTCGGTTGATATTAATATATTTTATCAATTGAAAGAAATGTTTCTTAGCTTCGGAAAGAAATATTTTTTAGAACAAAATTTTTTGAAAAAACGTTTAGTCCACCCGAAGAAACAAACCTTCGAGTGGAGGAAAGAAGATATCAGGGAAAAGAAATATTTCTTAATATCGAGGAAATCTTTAACTACCAGCTGATTTTTTAAACCAGAGTTCCTATTTATTTTACACCTTTGTTTACTTTTTCTTTAGAAGTGAATGCGAATGGGACTTTAACCGCTTAGTTTCATTTAAATTGTACTTAAGCAATTAAAGCTCCGCATATTTCACTATTAAACCGCCTCCCCCATTGTCGAATTTCACCTCAACATTATACAAGGTGGTCTAAACTTTCGAACGATGAGTGAAACGTCCTCGGGAGGATCGAAGGCGTCGCATGCTTTCGCAGACACACATCATGCGCGTGTTTCAGCTCTCGTGGTCGCATCGCGGCCGGGCGTTGAGCAACAACGCGAAGCGGCCGAGCAACGAGCGGGGCTACATACTGACGTCGAGCGGCGAGTGGCTGAATCTCACGCTGACCGACGTGATGGCCTCCGACAAGGGCGACTACGTCTGCCAGGCGAGGAATCCAGGCGGCGACGCCGAGAGGAACGTGACTCTGTCGGTGGTGGGCGACGCCTTGAGCAAGGAGAACGCAATCAACCTGCCGTTGGCGATCGGCCTCGGCGTGATCGCCCTGTGCCTGCTGATCATCACGGTGACGCTTTGCATGTACTATTGCCGCCGGCGGCGCACCCGGCACGACGAGAAGGGCCACGAGGCGGCCTCGATGGAGCACCAGGGCCTCGGCGAACAGGAGAAGTCCCTCATCACCACCATCAACCCCGTGGTGAAGCCGCCCAGACGCTACGAGGCTTCCTCGGTGACGTCCCACGGCACGGAGATGACGGAGCTGAATCGCACGTTGCTCGACAACGACTCGGTCTTCGGTCAGTACACAGCCTACATTACTAAACAGTACGCGGCCAGGTGCTAGCGGGGAATTACGAGCCATTAATTGAACGAGTCGCGCGTTTCTCGCGAGACTACGGCAGGTTGTTGATACAAGCCCGATCAGGGGCGTCGTTGTTGTCGATATGGGTCTTCGATGGACCACCGGTCGTTTTGTCGGGTAACATCCTCACCTGCTAAAGGTGAAGCGACCGCTATACGTTGTTTATATGATGTATCAATAGTGTGTATGTGTGTGTATGTGTGTGATCGTGAGTCGATTCGTGGCGCGCGAATCCCGTCTTCTGCGAATTCCCCGAGACAGTTGAGTGAAGCGCGTCACATCGATCTTGGGGTAACGAGAGTTCACCGAATGCCAGCTGGGAGACTAATGAAGGCTATCCTCCGTTAGGGACGCTTATGATATACCCGGACGTCCCTTAATATGACACCGCGTTACGATAGCGCACTGACATTTGTCACTTGTGTGCGATAACACTCGTGAATGACAACGACGCGGAGATTTCGATTCAGCTTCGACCGGGCTCGAGATTGTCGATTGTAAATTGCGTATGCGGAAAAAGAAACTTGGTTCCTGCAACTGAACAGAGAGACCTGATGAAAGCTCGATGAGGGGGAGTGATATTTCTGTTACCGCGCAACTCTGCGTGATTTGTGTGGACATTCAGCTGAGCTGCGACTGAGCAGAAATCTCTTGCGAGGATCCTTTGGTTTCTGCGACCGAGCTTTTGAACTTTCGTAGCGCACAGTATCGCGTAACAGACACGACAGACGTTAATTGTGGACGAAAGTAACGCACGAGCTTTATAGCTCGTAGTATTTAGCGTAGTATTTGGCGTGTCAGCGTAAGCAAAGATAACCCAAGTAGAAGTTGGAGCAGTCGCCGGCCGGTAATCCTGACAATTAGCTCATTTCTGACCGGTTTCGCCGGCCAGAAACTGATGAGTTTGAGAGAACTTTTGTGAGTCACTTTTACGCGTGTACTCACAAAATATAAATATACGCTTAAAGTGTTTGGCATATTTTGTTCAATCATAATGTAAGACTGAAGGCAGGAAGAATCTTTGGGAAAATATTGGAGGTGACCAAATAAGACCCGTTTACGTTTCCCGCTTAAAATCGTATGTCTGAAACATCACTCGCCAAATTCACACGCCCTTCTAATCAGAACCTGCGTAGATTTTCCAACTACAGTCTATTATTTCTTTTCTGGGAAATCGGATTGCATCCCAATTAGAAATTTTCTATTGGGGTTACCTTTAGTCACGCAGCCCCGCTTTCAATTCTGTGACATGTGATAAGACTTGTGCGTTGCTTACGACTTGTCTCTGTCGTAAAATATTACATTATTCTATGAACAGTGTTTGCCGGTATCTAGATAAAATTATTTAAATAATCTTCCAGATGAATAAGTAGAACAGACCATTTGTTTCGATTGATCAAACCACTTTTAGCCCGTGTCAAACTGGCAACAAAATAAAATTAATTTTTCGGATTTTCATCTCATCTTCATTTATAATCTGAAATCATCTAAGGCAAACACTGGCTATGACCCTTCGTTTGGTCCTCTGACAATTCGAAAAATTCCGTTGCGCCAACGAAATGGTTTTTCCCGTGTAAGAACAAAATTTCCGGTATTTGTAAGTGCGATCGGATGAGCGAAAGGGCTGTAATCAGGAAAAGTCGTAGTTAAGAGCATTGCTTGGAATTACTTTCGAAGTGATTTTCGAGAGCTGTTTCGTTTTCCTTTCTTCTCTCATTCGCCCGTCGAACCGAGCGATTTGCAGTTGCAACGCGTAATCTCAGGATCGACAAATTCACAAGGTCTGTTAGATGCTCTTTATTACTCAAGAGTTCTTATCGAAGCTACAGTTATGTATCGTAATTATAACAATATAATTGTACTGATATGTAGCGTACAAAAATAACACATATCAAGGGCTGCTTTTTCAACAAGAGCTTTTCAGAAATTGGGGTGCGCCTCACAGATCTTACAAAGTTGTCGCGGACCTGAGGCTGAGCGCAACGGCTGTCAGTCGTGTCAAAAGTAAAAGTAATTCCGAACACTGAACAAAGTAATCGTTTAGCTAATAAGTGTTACTATAATGTCGATGATAACAACTTTACGATACATACTACTATTTTCGTGGGTTAAAATCAAAAGGAGATACGGTCGAGGCCGAGGATGACCGGAAATAATGGGATTTCTCTGAACGTAGCTAACCTCGGTTCCCAAAGCGTACAAGTAGACCGGATAAAACAGCGGAGAGAAGTCACGTGACATTTTGCAAAATTCGCGAAATAGTTGGCGAGGAATTAATTATTTTGTCCGAGCTGTGCAATCGCAGGATCGAATAATGGCGACAATAAGAGGCTCATCCGAGACCAGGTTGCGTGCGTGTACTGAAATGGGGTGTCTTCGGTGAAATTCGCGCACACACGGAGAGTCACACACGCGACGCCGCATTCCGCTTACCGGAAAAGCGCACCGTGGCGTCGGGATCGCGCACGGACAAGATTACTCGCCGAGCTTGCGCGATCACGCGATCTCGATCTTACACACAGGCTTAATTAATCGACTCGGTATCGCGCGCACGTCAAAGCGTGTGCGAGCGACGTGCGCACCGACGTGCGTGCACGCTCGACCAACGACGTACGTGGAAACGCGGTTACGCAGTTTTTCGGTCAAATTGACAAAGCGCGACCAAGCGCGATCGTATCGCGGCTGATTCGATCAGAAGCGCTCGTCCACCGTTCGTACGAAGCCTTTGCCATTCCCGGGGATATCGAGAGAGCGGCGTGTCACGTCAATGCCGACCTCGTCAATGTTAGTAATGGTCTACGATTGGTGCTTTAAGCCCCAAACCTTAATGAATTGACCATTTTCTAAGGCTTAAAGCTTAAACCTTTATCAGACCTAGCCTTAAGCGAGGTCTGCAGAGAATTTAAGGCGTAGATTTGAGAAATTGTTCAATTATAATTGATTTTTCTTCTATAATTCCAGTGTGATTAGTCAATTTCTTAAGGTTCAGAGCTTAAATTCTCATTGTAGACCTCGCTTTAGTCCTAGTCTACAACAGGTGCTTTAAGCTCTAAGCCTTAAGAAATTGACCAGTCACAGCCGAATTTGAGAGAAGAGAATAATCAATTGGTCAATTCCTCAAGGCTTCGAGGTTAAAGCGCCTATTGTAGACCGAAACTGAAGAAATTGACCAATCACAACTGATTACTCTTCAATAATTCGATTGGTCACTTTCTCAAGGCTTAGAGCTTAAATTTTCAAGCCTTAAAAAACTGATCAATCACAGTCGAATTCAAAGAGAACAATCGACCGTGATTGGCGTCAATTTCTCAAAGCTCCGAGCTTAAATCCTCATTGTAGACCCCGCTCAAGACTTAGAACCTAAATTTTTCACAGTAGACCCGCTTTAGGCCGCAGTAAACCGTCCCAGTGGGGGGTCTGCTTGTCGTGCGTGCTGGCACGCGTCTCATCAAGACCCCGTGCACCTCCTCCGCGCGTGCAATCTTTTCTTTCTCTCCATTTTCTTTCTCTCTCTCTCTCTCTCTCTCTCTTACATTTTCTTTCTTAACGTTCGCCCTTCTCTTTTGTTCATGTTCACGGCAGCTGACGGCGTCGGGAGCGGCGGCGTCGTCGTCGGCAGCGAGCACATGGGTGACGACGAGAGGGAGCACGAACGGGCGACGCCGGAATTCGATGGGAGCGGCATCGGAGGTGGCGGTACGCTCCCACGTGGTGGCTATCATTACCGGCAGTATCCGCCGGACCTGTTGGCCTTCTCCGGGGGCCGGGGTGCCTCGCCGACCAGCCAGGCGTCGACGGTGCCCGACAACACGCGTATGCCTAATCAGCACGCGGCGATGACGCCGGTCGCAACAACCACTCCGGCGGCGCCAGCGTACGGCTCGCTACCGGTATCGGCCGGCGGCGGCCAATATCCGGCGGCCTTCAAGACGTTGCCGCACAGTCGCAGCGTCACGCCGTACGGGCCGTCCTCCTCCTCCTCACCGATGACGGCGCCGGTGCTACCGCGTCACGGCTACGTGACGATCCCACGGCGGCCACGGGCACCCAGCTGGAGCAGTGGACCCCCAACGTCCCCCATCGACCGCCTCGAGCCGGTCTACGACAACCTGGGCCGACGCACCACGGCGGACGGCAGCTCGGAGCTGTCGCTCAACAAGAGCTCGATCGAGCCGACGTCCTCCTCGTCCTCGGGCATGAGAGGACCCCGACCGCTGCCGGGAATGCCGGGCTCCCATTACGGCACGATCCAGCGCAGCACGCCCAACATTCTGAGCAGCAGCTCGCTGGACCGATCGGCGCCGGAAGGCGCGGCCGAGTGGCCGATCAACCTGACGGACGAGAGCGTGGAGGGCGGGCATCATGCGTTGCAGCTGCTGGCCGGCGGCAACAACACCCTCGGCAGGAAAGTGCCGCCCAGGCCGCCGCCCAAGCCGAAGAAGAAGTCGGCGAACGGGCCGCTGTACGAGGACGAGGGCGAGGACGGCACGGAGGTATGATCCCACGGCCGGCCGCAGCGATGAGGACGGCTGCTCGTAGTCCGCCACGACGGAGTGCGCGCGACCACATTCACAATAAACCGGTAGTGCCTTCTTCCGACGACGACGGTCCCGCGACGGCGGCTCCGAACTTTCGCGCGCCCACCGAAGAGCGGCCGGGGAACTCGGGAAGAACGCGGGAAGATATGCTTCCGATCCCCAACGACGAGAGATTCACGGAGTGAGACGACGACGTTGTCGCTCCGATGAGACACTGAGAGGCTTGCGGACGAAAGGTTACCCCGACTCCGGGAGAGTACTACGCTTGCCGGTTCGTTCCTCCCCTCCCCCCCCCCCCCTACTCTTCCTCCCCTACCTTGTAAGTTATTTATTGTGCCGTACCGGGTATCCGAGGCATCCGGGATCCGTCGATGAGACTCGCTTCCGACGAGCGCGCGCGTCTCGTTCCGCGTCTCATTCCGCGTCTCCGAACCGCGGGTCTACTTTCCTCCTTCCTCCCCTCCACTCCTCAGTCGATCCTTTTTTTCTTCTTGGTGAATTTTTTTCTCTTTTTTTTTTTCTTTCTTATCGGGTACTTCTGGCGCTTTGTTTGACGCCCACCACGCGCGGCGAGGTGATAAAACGGTGATAAATGTGAAGTTCCGGACATTTCGCTGCCGACTTGTACAGTCGATAAGGGGAGACCCGCTTGCGCGTTTTGGGCGGAATTTGCGCGGCGAAGCGGCCGGGAGAGCTTAAAGTCGCGAACCCGCAGCCCGGGGCAGCGACGAATGCGACTTCGAATTCATCCTGTATTCGTGTACGTGTAATCGAAAAATTGTATTCCCACGCACTCTCTCTCTCTCTCTCGTACGATTTATTTATATATAT